AGCTTTTTTTTAATCTAAATGAAATTCGTAGTATTCTTTAAATCGAGAATTTTCATAAAAAGAACGTCCAAATCTGACTTCATATGAGGAAATTATGATTTTTCTAAAATTCGGCATAGTAGTACACAGCACGATACACAAAATATAGATTGAGTGTTTTTTAGCCAACACGACCTAAATGAGAATCAAAGATCTCGTTAATAGTAGTTCAACGGTAAAAAGATAGACGAAAACGGACGTTGGATGAAGAAGTTATGAATTTTTAACAGACTTTTCCTGTCTCAGTCCGTTAAATATATAATATTATAAATAAAGTCAAAATTAGCCAACAGAGTCTAAAAAGAAGTTATAGAGCATAATTTCACCTAGGCGACGATATAAAGAACGTCAAAAACGGAGCTCGTATGCGAAATATACGAATTTTTGAAGTTTGTGGTATAATTTCTTAGGCTAGACCGAGGAGTACGCCCCACGTACAAGTAGTATGCCCAGGGTACTCGGAAACAAGGTCAGGAGCCAGCCACCTTGCTTTCCATCTCATATCGACATGCATCGGCCACATCTGAGGCCCGAGTTCCGAACCAGTGTCGCGTCGGTTCGTACGCCCCACGTAACGAACGCCCGGCATACCGAGGATTAGGCTCTTACTATAAATAGCAAGAGAAGCTCTCCGGGTTTAGGTTACAAAGTCTTACACTTTCTCACTCTCTACTCGTTTTGTAGCCACTCTAAACCACCCCGAACCTCTTAACACCCGAAGCAATCCCGGAACGCCCCAAAGATCCCGAGAAAAGATTTTTTGAAGTTGAAACTCTACCCACACAAAGCTCGGTTTTCGACTAAAATATCCGGTTTCGTCAAAGAAAGTCATTTTTAGAAACGAAGTGCTGCCCAAATTATCATTTTATCATTCGGTTATTTCACGGTGAGTTCAATATAGGGACAATTATATGTTATGTGTTATATGTGCATTCTGCTTTCCCGTGTTATATGTTACCATGAAGTGAATGACTAAGCATCACTTTGGTATTGGTATGTAGCATTTGTCCATGAAGTGAATGAGTAAGAATCACTTTGGCATTGGCAGAAGACTAGGTAGGGCTGAAAGCCTTAAATACTAGCCAAATGATAATTTAGAAATCATTTATTTTCTGTGCCACTTAGGCGGAAGTCTTATTGATGTATATCATGTTGAAAGTTTTTGTATCTCATTGATTGTAAATCTTTGAATCAGATCATTTGTTGATATGGAAAGTTTGTCCTATATTACACATATGCCTTTGTTGTTCTTTGTCCTTCTTTGCTTCTTTCATATTGATATATATATATATATATATATATATATATATATATATATATATATATATATATATATATATATATATATATATATGGCATAATGTCATATTGTAACTTTTATTGAACTCAATAAATGTCACCCGCTTATCCATCTCAATGTTTAAACTACGGCATGTGATAAGCATCTAGTTTAGTCATGTACTGGTAGAAGATGTTGAATAGATAATATTATAGCTTTTTTATTTAGTGTATAAATTCATGGGAAGTTATGTAATATATAAAACTTTGTAAAAATCTTAATAGACGGTTTGTATCCAGTCTTTTGTAATAAGTCCATATATGTAAAATATGTTTATGAATATGCATGTAGCATGTTTGGAGTAATAATATTGTAAAGGTATTAGAGAAATAGTGGGTCTCACATCATCCCACGATCAATGTTATTGAACTTGAAAAATAATAATGTAGGATCAGTAACCATACTTCTTTTATTCACTTCAAGCAACTTCATAACAAGTCTAAGTCGTTCACAATGATAGTGAGTTCCTTTGTGTCGCAATGATGCAACTGTTCGAATCGTATTGAAACAACTGATCCAATCACATCGATGCCACCAATCACAATGATACCAGCAATCGCAGATTCCATTATTCGCAATGTGGCTGAGTCTTCTCTGATCGTAGCGATGTGAACTTTTTCTTTAATAAGTTTCTCCTCCACATACACTTTATCTTCTTCAAATAACTCAAAGAGTTTGCCGGTCGTTCCTTCCATTTGTGAATCAAAAGCCATCTTTGTTTGTTCCTTTAAATAAGATTAGAAACCTGAAAATTAACCTTGTAATAATCTAAATAGTTAATAGCAGCCTTTTGAAAGAATGGATCATGGTTCATATATGTAAAGTGATGAACAACACGTCCCATCATCACGCTTCCCAATTTAAAGCACACAAAAAGAATATAAGTCTAAAAATCATAAACTCTTTCACACGTGAATACTTGGGATTTTGAACAGTATAAGGACTAGAACTATCATGATCAAATACCATCTTCAAGGATTCACCAATAATGTTTCGCAACTCCTTGGCTTACTCCTGATCACAATGACATGAATCCTTCTAAAAAAAGTCGCACCTTAACAATCCAGGGACAAATTCACCTTTGGGTACTCTTCTCGTACCATCTGCTCCACTTTCATATCATTCTGACCCACATCCACATCTACAGATTCTTCAACCCTTTCAACCTCCCTTTCACTTGTCAGCAAAGTCAAATTCATCTTCTGGACCTATTCTTCATTTGTTGGCTTCATGGTTGTAGATGAAATAGGCTCTTGCTGTTCAACACAAATCACCTCCTTTTCCCTAATTTCGTATGTATCAACAAAATTGATTTCTTCCTCAACGGTTTCAACAATTATGTCACCAAACACGAAATCAACCCTTTCAACAAATTCCCTTTCCCCATCAGTTTTGTAAATAGGGATAAAGTCTTCAACACTTTTGTCCACATCATTGAGAGTGACTGATTTCGCAATCACTTCACTAATTTCTTTATCAAATATCTCTACCTCATACTCGATGTCATATATAGGATCAAAATCTTTAACAACGACATCTTTAATTTCGTTTTCATCTACGAAATTACTTTCTTCCATGACGTCTTCTTTTCCATATACATAACTAACATCAGAAACATCATATTTTGGGAATTCATATTCTTGTTTTGTTTTAGCATTGGAGAGTGAAATATTTTCTATTTCTTTTTCTAGTTTGTATCACAGTACAACTTTGTAGATGAAGGTGTTCTCATTGACTTCTTCATCTTCACAAGCCTTCTCGATCACAATAAACTCTTCACTCACAATAGTCACCACAGATGATTCTTCAATCTCAACAGTAGATCATCCCATCAGTTCATCAAAATCGATCACATCCAATTTCTTTTGCCATGATTCTAAAAAGTTAGGAATAATCATGATTGGATAAATTGTTGGAGCATACCTTTCTGGGAGTTTGTACTTTAGTGATTCCCATGACGAGATTCTCATTTCCCCTTTACAAACACTTTTGGTACTTCCTAGCAAACAATAAATGCAAGAAACTCATGAACCTAGCCATATATATATATATATATATATAGATACTAGAAAATTTTGAGGCCTGTGCTAAGCACGACCCATGGAGGGTAATTTGGGTTATTTAAAATATATTGTGTTGCCAACCAAAAAAAGCATAATGCTATAAATGGATGGATTTTCAATTTACAATGCGTGAATAAGAAAAAAGAAAATGAATGTATATTGTTATATTCAACAAATAAATGAAAATCCTTTACGATATTCTGATATGAATATTTCGACATTTGGAAAACCTATATGTATTGTTTGTTGTGCACTCTATGTTTATTGGTATTACTCATGAAATACCATCTTTGATTTTTGATTCAAGGCTTTATTCACTTGTTTCTTGGTTGTCATTGATCTTATTGCTATGTCCACTATTTCATTATTTCTTTATTCGACGTGACCTAAAAAAACATAAATTAGAATGATTTGGGACTTTAAATCTTTTTTTAGATGTTGCAACTGTCAGAACATACACAAATTCACAAAATAATTCGAGCATACCTTTGAAGGAGGTTGAAATACGAAATTGGAAAGACCAGAAAAGAAGATACATTGTGATGACCGAGCGTTTGGTGTTAAACCCACCCAAGTCATATGGTGCTAGATGAATTCACATTTTCCTAATGAGACAAAATGAACAAAATTTGGGACATTTAGGCTAGTTGAAAAGGCAAATTCCTTCAGAAAGTAACTGAATAAGGTTAATTCGTTTAATCACTGCTTTTGAGCAACACATGAAATGTTAGGGACAAAAATATAAAATTTGAAGGACAAAATTGTAATTTAGGCAAGAGAAGAAAATAGCTTGCCATCAGTTTTTAATAGTCTAGTACCCAGATTAGACGATACCAGCTAAAGATAATGAAAATATTAAATTGATAATTTCATTAGCCTCAATGCAACATGTTGATATTTTACAACAAAATAAGGATACATTATTTAAGGTGACATGGAAGGGGAGGACACTCACTTTTAATACTTTGTTGCATAGAATTTCGATTATAAGACCAGACCATTCAACAACCACACGTCTGAATATATTGATAATAGAGCATGCACCCACGATAGATGGCAAGATCAGCAAAAATGTCATCTAAATGCAAACTCTGTTCTCCTTATGATTACAGAACTTAATAAATCAATTTACATGCCAAATGTAAGAAAGGTATGCTAGTTTAAGCCACTTAAGTAGAAAGAAAGTACCATCGAGAGTGATATAATGTGAGCGTCAATCTTTATATAGATTTACCTGAATGTAAATGATGTGCAGTTGAACAATATCTTTTGACAGACAATCAATGGATGATTGTTTTCTCATTTCGTAGCACTCTTATAATCAACCCACCAAATTCAAGCACACTCCATGACAACATTATGGTGGTGAACACCGCACGTGATATTATAGACACAATTCAAGTTGAAATAATGTCAAACACGTACAAAACATCTAGGATATTAATCTATAATTATAGTGGTGAACTTAACAGAAAATAGGGTTTTTAACTAAAAACAATGTTTCTTGGCAGATTAAGGGGCATCCAAAATGAAACGGCGGGGATCTACTCTGAAGGAACATGGCGACTTTAAGAACGGAGGCGGTACCCATGGATCAACATCAAACCCTCCCAATTTCACTCCTTCAATATTTGTGGCGTCATTCAGAAGTAGGATACGTGGCATCAAAAGGACCCAGAAAATCTAACTTAGGAGGCATGACAATGGAGGCTAATTTAAGTATTTAAAAACATTACAGAAGAATATTATAACCGTAGTGCTTTCTATTACGGGTAAGAATTTAAAGTATGTTGTTATTCTCACTAAAGAACCAAGTTTCTTTTATTATTGGTAAGGTAATAAAAGTGCAATGCTATTATGGGTAAAAGATAAAATTACATTGCAATATAAAAAGGAAAGTAGTTAGCATATATTGATAAAAAAAAATAAAATCCAATGTTATTTTCGACAACATTATAATTCTCCCCAATGAAATTCATTGTCTAAGCATGCCTTTTCTCCCTTAACCGCAAAATTTCAGGACCGGAACTTAATTGTTAATGCATTTTCAGTTTAAACATCATATCAAAATCATTAATTAATCCCTAAACCTTTTAGGGTCTTAGTTATTGCGGACAATATTTCATGCTTCTTGTAATGTATATCTTCCTTGATAGTGATGTGAGATATATGCCTTTTGTAGCACATTGGTTTACTTTCATTTACTTGCTCCTTCACCTTTGACACTATCATAACTACTCAAATTCAATATTTTCTCTGCCAATCCATGGGGTTTTTTTTTCATTCTGTCACTGAAAGGAACGGAAATTGCAATATAGCCCTTTTTAGCTCTTTTAAATCTTAATGACATGAAACTTTTTCATGATTATATATTGTCTAAATTACAGTTTCATATTTTAAAAGTAACCGTGTTCAAAATGGTATGGATTTGTTACGTTTGGTGATGAAAAAAGAGAACAATGATGTGAATAAAATCAATGGCATGTATTGTTTAACCAAGCACATGTGAACCGATGTTGCAACTCTTAAAAGGCACCTAAGTGTTGGATTCAAAGTTGTTGTTAAAGATTATAAATTGACTTGTTATACTCTTGAGTATGAAACCAAGGATACTGATATTTTGGCAGCATTTCGAGTAATTCCTCAACCTGGAGTTCCGCCTGAAGAAGTAGGGGTCGTAGTAGTTGTCGAATCTTCTACTGGTACATGGAGAACTGTGTGGAACGATGGACTTACGAGCCTTGATCGTTACAAAGGGAGATGCTATGGAATCGAGCCTGTTCCTAGAGAAGAAGATCAATATATTGCTTATGTAGCTTACCCGGCCAATTTGCTACGAAATGGAGATTACTAAGAACTTCAAGCTAGTTCCTGTTTTATTCCATTTTGGAATGATAAAAAGATAAAGAAAATTTAAACCATAAAGTTATACTCGTTAGCAATGATTTGTGTGCATCGAAGATTCCATGTAAACAAGCTAGCAAGGTCATGGGGTTAGAAAGTTTTGGTAAAGAAATAATGACTTGTCAAGCTTTTCTTCTGCCCCCTAGAAGATAAACTTGAAATCAATATTTAATAGTATTTATCCATTGAAGTTGTACACCTACAACATGTCATTTACACAAAAAAAAAAGATTCATAATTTTATTTGCAACATTTCATTTGTAATGAAATATGTTTGAGAATAACCATAATCCCATATGTCAACAAATATGTACCAGAGTAAGCATAATTCCGTACAAATTGTCATTGATGATAATTCTTAAGTTCAATTGGAGTATTTAAAAGCCCAAACACAAAATACGTCAGAACTAACAAATCCATTATTGTATTTCTTATATATGAATAATAAAGCAACTAAACTCGTAAACCTCCTTTGCCTATGTGATAAGATTGAAGCAATTTCCATAAGTTGTACCTAAAATCTAAATCAATGCCCATGCCCTTGCCTTGGATTTAGCCTATCAACATATTTTACACCACTATGTGAACAATCATCTACCCACGAACCAACTACTAAGAGATTATCCACCGATCAATGCATTCCAGATTAAGAAATTTCTTTATGGCATTTTGTCAAACAGTTTATGGGCATATAACAAGAGCTCTTATTTATATATAATATACTGGTGTGTTCCAACCCAACCAGGAAAACGACTAACATCCACGTTTAAAATCTTTAATCTTTCTCTTTTGGATAGAACTTAATCGAATGTTCATCAAAATTTGATTAATGAAGATTCATACATATTGTTTCATCATTTAAGAAGTATTTCCAACTAAAAATGCAGATGAATTGCTCATATCCGTGACGTGTAAGATTCTGAAACCAAACTCCAATAAACCATATGAAATATTACCATTTAATATCTGGTATACGTTGTATGAAATGCAACCATAGAGATTATTTTTCGACTTGGTTTGGAGCATCACTTGATAAAATTATTTTAAAATTTAAAAAAATATGGGTTCTAGAATCAATCGATAGAAATGGGTTCCTATGCATATAACATTAATGAACGGAGGGTCAGTCACATCTACACCCCAAACCTCATTTCCTCTATTACATATACATTTTATTTTTCTGTCAAACGGATCGACTTTAAGTAAAAATTAAAGCAATTGTTCTTTCGCTTTTTTATTTTGAAGATAATAAGTAGATTATGTAGTCTAATAGAAAGGAAAATAAGTGTAATTACCAAAACTTGAGGCGACGTAAACCAATTTTGAACTTACAGCGCGTGTTAGCTCAATTTTGAAATTGGTTTACGTCGCCTCAAGTTTTGGTAATTACACTTATTTTCCTCTCTATTAGCCTACATAATCTACTTATTATCTTCAAAATAAAAAAGAGAAAGAACAATTGCTTTAAATTTTACTTAAATTCGATCCGTTTGATAGAAAAATAAAATGTATATTTAATAGAGGAAATGAGGTTTGGTGTATATGGCTAGGAACCCATTTCTATCGATTGATTCTAGAACCCATATTTTTATAAATTTTAAAAGAATTTTATCAAATGATGCTGCAAGCCAAGTCGAAAAATAATCTCTATGGTTGCATTTCATACAACGTATATCAGATATTAAATGGTAATGTTTCATATGATTTATTGGAGTTTGGTTTCAGAATCTTACATGTCACGGATATGAGTAATTCATCTGCATTTTTAGTTGGAAATACTTCTTAAGTGATGAAACAATATGTATGAATCTTCATTAATCAATTTTTTATGAACATTCGATTAAGTTCTATCCAAAAGAGAAAGATTAAAGATTTTAAACGTGGATGTTAGTTGTTTTCCTGGTTGGGTTGGAACACACCAGTAGATTATATATAAATAAGAGCTCTTGTCATATGCCCATAAACTGTTTGACAAAATGCCATAAAGAAATTTCTTAATCTGGAATGCATTGATTGGTGGATAATCTCTTAGTAGTTGGTTCGTGGGTAAATGATTGTTCACATAGTGGTGTAAAATATGTTGATAGGATAAATCGAAGGCAAGGGCATGGACGTTGATTTAGATTTTAGGCACAACTTACGGAAATTGCTTCAATCTTATCACATAGGTAACGGAGGTTTACGAGTTTAGTTGCTTTATTATTCATATATAAGAAATACAATAATGCATTTGTTAGTTCTGACATATTTTGTGTTTGGGCTTTTAAATACTCCAATTGAACTTCAGAATTATCATCAATGACGATTTGTATGGAATTATGCTTATCTGGTACATATTTGTTGACATATGGGATTATGGTTATTCTCAAACATATTTCATTACACATGAAATGTTGCAAATAAAATTATGAATCTTTTTTTTTGTAAATGACATGTTGTAGGTGTACAACTTCAATGGATAAATACTATTAAATATTGATTTCAACTTTATCTTCTAGGGGGTAGAAGAAAAGCTCGATAAGTCATTATTTCTTTACCAAAACTTTCTAACCCCATGACCTTGCTAGCTTGTTTACATGGAGTCTTCGATGCACACAAATCATTGCTAATGAGTATAACTTTATGGTATAAATTTTCTTTATCTTTTTATCATTCCAAAATGGAATAAAACAGGAACTAGCTTGAAATTCTTAGTAATCTCCATTACGTAGCAAATTGGGTAAGCTACATAAGCAATATATTGATTTTCTTCTCCAGGAACAGGATCGATTCCATAGCATCTCCCTTTGTAATGATCAAGGCTCGTAAGTCCATCAGTCCACACAGTTCTCCATGTACCAGTAGAAGATTCGGCAGCTACTACAGCCCCTACTTCTTCAGGCGGAACTCCAGGTTGAGGAATTACTCGAAATGCTGCCAAAATATCAGTATCCTTGGTTTCATACTCAAGAGTATAACAAGTCAATTTATAATCTTTAACAACAACTTTGAATCCAACACTTAGGTTCCTTTTAAGAGTTGCAACATCGGTTCACATGTGCTTGGTTAAACAATACATGCCATTGATTTTATTCACATCATTGTTCTCTTTTTACGTCACCAAACGTAACAAATCCATACCATTTTGATCACGGTTACTTTTAAAATATGAAAATGTAATTTAGACAATATATAATCATGAAAAAGTTTCATGTCATTAAGATTTAAAAGAGCTAAAAAGGGCTATATTGAAATTTCCGTTCCTTTCAGTGACATAATGAAAAAAAGAAACCCCATGGATTGGCAGAGAAAATATTGAATTTGAGTAGTTATGATAGTGTCAAAGGTGAAGGAGCAAAGTAAATGAAAGTAAACCAATGTGCTACAAAAGGCATATATCTCACATCACTATCAAGGAAGATATACATTACAAGAAGCATGAAATATTGTCCGCAATAACTAAGACCCTAAAAGGTTTAGGGATTAATTAATGATTTTGATATGATGTTTAAACTGGAAATGCATTAAAAGTTAAGTTCCGGTCCTGAAATTTTGCGGTTAAGGGAGAAAAGGCATGCTTAGACAATGAATTTCATTGGGGAGAATTATAATATTGTCGGAAATAACATTGGATTTTACTTTTTTTTTTATCAATATATGCTAACTACTTTCCTTTTTATATTGCAATGTAATTTCATCTTTTACCCATAATAGCATTGCACTTTTATTACCTTACCAATAATAAAAGAAACTTGGTTCTTTAGTGAGAATAACAACATACTTTAAATTCCTTACCGATAATAGAAAGCACTCCGGTTATAATATTCTTCTGTAATGTTTTTAAATACTTAAATTAGCCTCCATTGTCGTGCCTCCTAAATTAGATTTCCTGGGTCCTTTTGATGCCACCTATCCTACTTCTGAATGACGCCACAAATATTGAAGGAGTGCAATTGGGCGGGTTTGATGTTGATCCATGGGTACCATCTCCTTTCTTAAAGTCGCCATGTTCCTTCAAAGTAGATCCCGGCCGTTTCATTTTGGATGCCCCTTAATCTGCAAAGAAACATTGTTTTTAGTTAAAAACCCTATCTTCTGTTAAGTTCACCGCTATAGTTATAGATTAATATCCTAGATGTTTTGTATGTGTTTGACAATATTTCAACTTGAATTGTGTCTATAATATCATGTGCGGAGTGCACCACCATAATGTTGTCATGGAGTGCGCTTCAACTTGGTGGGTTAATTATTGTTGGATTAGTGTCTAAGTCCATAACTATTTTGGTATGTACTTGACCCGATGGTGCATGGTCCTTTTGGGTTGCCTTCACCATAGCAACTTGATTGGAGAAATAAATAAAGAGAGAGAGGTTATTATGATTTATTAAAATGTTATAAGAATAATATATTAAAGGAGAAATCATATTTGTTTAATTAATATTGGTCAATAATTAATTAGGAATTAATTTTGTGATCAAGTGTAATTAATTAAACTAGAGGGGCTGAATTGTAATTGTGTGATAGTTATAAAATATGGTAATGGTTATCCTAAATATGGGTTGAACGAATTCAAGGAGATAAGGATCCTTAAAATCGTCCAAAGGATAAAGGATAAGGGTTTTCAAGGCTTATCTTATGGTTGCTTTGTGGATAACCAACTAGATAAAGATAATGACTGAAACCCTATCTCTACACCTATATAAAGACCCTAAGACCTTAGAATTCACGTACTGGTTCCCAAGGAGTCCTAAGGACGAATTCTAACCTCTCTCCTCTCTCTTTATACCTTCTCCATTTGCTCTTGGTGTTTGTAAGCCATTAGAGGAGTGACACTTGTGACTCTAAGCATTCCAAAGTCAATTCAAGGAGGAATTAGGATTGTTATTGCTACATAACAATCAAGGTAATATCTTAAACCTAATTATATGTTAATATCGATTTCCATATGCTAGAATTAGGGTTTATAGTCTTGGATTCAAAGCATGTACAATAGAGAAACCTAGATCCAAGCTTTAGGGTTTGTATGAGCACATAGGATGTCTTATGACCAAAACCCATCAGTGGTATCAGAGCCATTGGTTTGGTTTCAATTGTATGAACTTGATATATTAGGGTTTATTGCCAATAAACCCTAAGAGGCTAGGGTTTTTCGAGATTAGGGTTTGCAAACCCTAATTTGTAAGAGTTTGAATAAGATCTTCAAATCCTTTCCTTAAACCCTTGAATTTCGAAATCTAGGGTTTGTTATAATCCCTTGATCTTCGAAATTTGCCTCCTCCCCAAGATAAGGTCCTAATTTTTAGGGATTTGGATTATCCCATATCTTGTAATTATCCTCTAATTGTTATATATGGTAACTCAAGATCTTGCATTATCCATCCATATTTTCGAAATCTATATAGATATTTAAGGGATTAGGATAACTTAAATGTCTAAATGGTAATTATCCTCATTATTTAGATAATCCCTTATGATTTAATAATTAAATTAATAGTCTAATTCAAGATAATTATTAAATCAAGAGTTTTAATATTTAAAATTTTAATTTAAATGTCATAAATTCGAAATTTTAAGATAGATTAAAACTAAATTGTTTTGAAATGTTTCAAAACTTGCCCTCAAGTTTTGGAATTTAAAAGTTGATTAAAAATGTTTAATTAGGAGTATTAAATTCTAAAACCCTAGTATTGTTTTGAAAAGTTCAAATCACACCCTTATGGTTTTATTAATTAATTAAGGTGTATAATTAAAAGAGATTTAATAAATCCATAAAAGTTTTGGTTTGCAATTTAATTGAATTAAAGGTATAATTATTAAATTTGACCACATAGTATTTTAAAAGTATGAAATGCACCCTATATTATATATATAACATTAAAAGTCTAACATTATATATGTATGAGTAAAAGTCAGTCTTACCGTTAGTAGGCCTCATTCACGAAGCCGGTCTATAAGGGGTGTTTAAGGAAATTGCCTATAAAATGGCGATTGAATAGGTATCCACTCTTACCCACCGCACTCTTGACTAGTGGAGGGTCGTTAGCCGAACAGGTAGGATAGGAAGAAACCTTCCATTATAAGTATAATGAAATACAAAGTAACTAAATGTTTTTCTAATTCCCAATCGTAGTTACTTAGGAAAAAGTGAATTGATGCAATTCCATGAAATTACACTTTGTGCCCTTGCGAAGACGTTAGTGGAGCGTGTGTGGTTTACCGGCACACTAAATGGTTCTAAGAAAAGGTTGCAAAGGGTGAATCAATGTTTGTCATAGTTCGGTGGAGCGTGTGTGGTTTACCGGCACATCGAATGAGTGATTGTAACATGTGAGGGCACCATGTAAGTTTGCATGGTTATTCACACCCGCTTTGTGATCCTCGGCATCCCAGTCACAAACAAGAGGGGCATATCGAGATTTAAACATGCCATTGAAAGTTCAATGAATCTCAAAGGATCTAGGAGTTTTCATAGATTTAAAACTTAAATTTCTTTTTCGTTTTTCATGGTGGAAATTAGTGAATCGTCATTCACTTACCTTCAAATATTCTGCAACTAGATTACGGCATCCCTTTTCTAGGTTGTAGCGTATTGTGTTGGGTCCTAGCCTTAGTATCTCATTTGGGTGATTTACTAAGGACTCAATCGATCAACTAACTTGAATTTGTTTTCTCCCGTTTTGTAGATGTCAAAGTTCGACAATCATGGTCTTCCCAAATCCCGTGGAACAAGCATTCCACATGAAGATGATATTCCACGATTCGATCGAGGAACAAGAAATCATGCTTCACTTCCTCCTCCTCCTCCAATTGTTCTCCCTAACCCACAAGATCAAAGAATTGAAAGGTTCAATATCACTAAGCCCTATTGGAAATGAAACATGAAGATGGTAAATCCGTGTGTGCCCACATTCTAGGAATGAAATCACACATCGATAGGTTGATTATGTTGGGTGTGTCATTCCCGAATGAGTTGGCTGTAAATTGGGTTTTGCAGTCACTTCCTGAATCATATAATGAGTTCAAAAGAAAGTATTATATGATGGATCATGACGACAACCTCATTGACCTAACCTACATGCTCATTGCTGCTGAATCAGAAATGATTTGGCGAAGCAATGGAGCGTATTTGTTGGGAGAGTCAACCGACCATGCTTCCGAGGACGTTCTAGGAGAACCGACCTGCGTTTGCTGCCAAGAGAAAGGGCGTTGGATAGAAGTCTGCCCCAAGAGCCTGAAAATTCCAAAGATGGGAGAGTCAAAGAGTATGACTGCGCTTCAGGTAAAATCCACTATCTAACTTCGTTAAGTTCCTATTCATTGATTCAAATACATGATGTGATAAGATTGCATTTGAATGTTTTGCAGGATCGGTGAAAAGAAAGGAAGCTTGATAAGAGAGCAAGATGAATCTAATCACAAGAGATGGATCTCGATCGCATGGACTTGAAGATTGGATTTTGAGCTTAGATAGTTATGATAGAGTTGTTAGAAATTTTCCTTTTACGTAGTTTTCAATAGATTTTGCATTGTAAGGACAAATGTTTTTCCGCTGCTTTTATAAATAAGATAAATTTTGTTTGACTTATTTATTTATTTGTTTACTTCCTTGCAATGAAATCGTTATGAAAATTGATGTTTGCATATTTCTACAACGAATGGATATGATTCTTAGTTATGTTATTTATGGAAATGTCGAGAATTTACCAAATAGGGAGAGTTTCTCATCGCCCAAAGTTTCAATTGGACTGAAATTTGGAATCACGCAACTTGGTTGCATGGTGAATGAGAAATTTCATATTTGGAAATTAGACAAATTCGTTGACAAAGTGTCAAGTGAAGGACTAGGAGATCGAGTACACAAAGTTTGTGTTTGATCAAGTTCACCATAAGAGTAACAAAGATATTTGTCATGATTTACTAATGGCTTAGTAAATATGATTACACTTACAAGATTAAGTGTAATTCTGAATTGATTAAAGGGTTTAGATCAATAGTAGAACGAACAAGAAGAATCAAGTAGGCAGAAAGATAAAAGTTTCTCCATTCTAAGAAGAAGGGAGAGTAGCTTTTATGCTTTATAATGGGTCTTAATGATTAAGAACCATGTCTCAATTGATCCTCTAAGTAAGTCTTAGTACAATTGTATGTTTAAGAAGAGGAATCAAGGATTGAAGAAATGGTTAAATCAAGAAGTCTATCATACTTCGTTCCAATAACAAGTCTTAAAGTTAAGATTGTGGCAATGAGTGAAAAGTATTAAAGGTTTATAACATTCATAAAATGTGGAAAGTTGTGATGTCTTGAATAAGACAAAGACCAACTTGGACCAATTTATGAAGTGTTTTGATAAAAGCTACACTAACTCTTGAATATTTGGTTGTCAACAAATGTTTATTGACAAGAGAATCTTATATGTCAAGGAGTCAGTGGGAGTCTTAATGGTCTTGAAAAGTTTCAAGAACAAATCAAATAAACCTTATCGATCATCACTAGCACACGAGTTGAGTTTTACAACCTATCGTGTTGACGATATTTTGATTCTGTGCTTGTTCCAATTGAGTTAATTATGCATGTGAGTCCTATGAGTACTCATTTTGAACGCATAAAAGGCAAAGCACCTTGATCAATGAAAGGTACATTGATAGGAAAAGGGTGAGATGCTTAACTACTTGGAAGACGTGGTGGGCAGCTGTGCTACCATAAGGCAAGAAATCAAGATTAAAAAAGGCTCGGTCCATATGAGTTTGAATTTGTCGTAAACTTTGGTTTTAACAAATTCACATGGATAGGAACAAATACACCATTTAAATCTAAGTGTCATAAGATTTCCTCCTTCATGAAAATGATTGTGAGGAAATGCTTTCACTAAGAAAGATTTTAAGAAGATAGTGATTGTAAAATTGCATTCTCGAATTCGATCATGGTTACGGTATCCCTTTCCATAATTTGAATTGTGAGGTTTGGCAATTAGTCTTAATTGTTGAGACACACATATGAACTATCTAAAGGCAAAGGTGTATAAGTTCAAGAAGCCTTGAT